TACTTAGTTAATTGTATCACAACAACGAACTTTTAACATAAAGAAGACTCAAAAACCAACACGAACGATCAAATGATGAATACGGAAAAATCATTGAACCAATAAAATAACCTACACAAATAAACATAACATTAACAGTTTGAAAAAGAAATCCAATAATTTATAATATTATTAAAAGAATAAAAATTTACAGACATGTATATTGAGATGGATAGAGAGTGCACTGCGAACAAACTCAATGCTCACGGGATAAGTTGTTGTGTACAAATTATGATTAGTAATACAGTACTGCAGAACATGAACATAGAACGAAGGACCTATAACAGAAAGTAATTATATTTAAGAAAACGTTTACAAAATAAATAGATATAAGAGTAGACAAAACGTAAACGACCCGCAATGATGATGCTGCAAAAAAAGAAAGATCACACCAGGACAAATCTATTAGAAACATTCTAAAGCAATATATAAGTGCGATAAGGACTAAAATAGAAAAAAAAAAATTAAGAACAGAGAAGAGAGGGCGTAGTAAATATCACAGACGAAACACCAGTGTTTTAAAAAGCGTTCTAGGCATTCGTTTAGGCGCTAGGCTCCTATAGACCGTGACAATTACCGCTTTTGCCGCCTAAAATATTATGATATTATTATAATAAAATACTATAATCTTTTTTATATATAAATCGTAAAATTTTATATATTTAGCTATTAAATGATGAATATAAATACAATAAAATTTTTATTAGTTATAAATTATGGTTTTTTATATATTTTATTATATATATCTAATATATTATGTATTTTTGTAAAACGCTTAAACCGCCTATTAAATCGCCTAGGCTCCGATTAGGCGTTCTAGGCACTAGGCATTGGGTCACCGTCCGCTTAGCGTCTAGCGCTTTCTTGAACATTGCGAAAAACTATGCGGGGAAGAAGTGTGTTGCAATGGAAGGAGAAAACACATATATTTATAGAAAAAAATTAGGGTTTGTACTTATACGATATAAGATAATAATAAAATATTTTCATTAAAATTCACGTGTATCCAAATATATAGAATATTTGATTAGATAATAATGGAAGATTATTACTAAATTTTAATATAAGATATTCGATATAAATATAATGGAAGATTAGCACTAAATTTTGAATATATCCATAAATAAGTATATTTTCTTAATAAATATATAGGTCACAGGAAATTAGTAAAAAATCAAAAGTAGTTGCCAGATTTTATACTAAATTTATAGGCCCCACAAATGAATTAAACAATAAGGCCCATACATATATAATCGATTTTTTTTTCAAATGATGGCATGGAAACATAATTTCGAGAGTTATTAAGGGTATTTTCGGAAGACCAAATCTTAAACTCACTCTGGAGATGACACGTAAGATTTGCGACTTCGTATTTATAAT